CTGCATTCAAAATTTTTAATTTAACGTAGATCAAATTTTTGACCCATTTTCATGTTAGTTATTTCCATGTTTCCGATGATGTGTCAAATGATGACCCTCAATTGGACTTTTGCACTTCATAACTTCCCCAAATTTAATCCGATTTCAAAGTGGCATACCTCTAAAGACTTGTGGTTGGATCCTCTAAAAATCTGCATTCAAAATTTTTAATTTAACGTAGATCAAATTTTTGACCCATTTTCATGTTAGTTATTTCCATGTTTCCGATGATGTGTCAAATGATGACCCTCAATTGGACTTTTGCACTTCATAACTTCCCCAAATTTAATCCGATTTCAAAGTGGCATACCTCTAAAGACTTGTGATTCGATTCTCTGAAAATCTGCATTCAAAATTTTTAATTTAACGTTGGTCAAATTTTTGACCCATTTTCATGTTCGTTATTTCTAAGTTTCCGATGATGTGTCAAATGGTGACCCTCACTTGAACTTCTGAACTCCATAACTTCCCCAAATTTAATCCGATTCCAAAGTGGCATACCTCTAAAGACTTGTGGTTCGATTCTCTAAAAATGTGCATTCAAAATTTTCAATTTAACGTTGATCAAATTTTTGACCCATTTTCATGTTAGTTATTTCTAAGTTTCCGATGATGTGTCAAATGGTGACCCTCACTTGAACTTCTGAACTCCATAACTTCCCCAAATTTAATCCGATTCCAAAGTGGCATACCTCTAAAGACTTGTGATTCGATTCTCTGAAAATCTGCATTCAAAATTTTTAATTTAACGTTGGTCAAATTTTTGACCCATTTTCATGTTCGTTATTTCTAAGTTTCCGATGATGTGTCAAATGGTGACCCTCACTTGAACTTCTGAACTCCATAACTTCCCCGAATTTAATCCGATTCCAAAGTGGCATACCTCTAAAGACTTGTGATTCGATTCTCTAAAAATCTGCATTCAAAATTTTTAATTTAACGTTGGTCAAATTTTTGACCCATTTTCATGTTAGTTATTTCCATGTTTCCAATGATGTATCATATGGTGACCCTCAATTGGACTTCTGCACTCCATAACTTCCCCAAATTTAATCCGATTTCAAAGTGGCATACCTCTAAAGACTTGTGATTCGATTCTCTGAAAATCTGCATTCAAAATTTTTAATTTAACGTTGGTCAAATTTTTGACCCATTTTCATGTTAGTTATTTCTAAGTTTCCGATGATGTGTCAAATGGTGACCCTCACTTGAACTTCTGAACTCCATAACTTCCCCAAATTTAATCCGATTTCAAAGTGGCATACCTCTAAGGACTTGTGATTCGATTCTCTGAAAATCTGCATTCAAAATTTTTAATTTAACGTTGATCAAAATTTTGACCCATTTTCATGTTAGTTATTTCCTTGTTTCCGATGATGTGTCAAATGGTGACCCTCAATTGGACTTCTGCACTCCATAACTTCCCCAAATTTAATCCGATTCCAAAGTGGCATACCTCTAAAGACTTGTGGTTGGATCCTCTAAAAATCTGCATTCAAAATTTTCAATTTAACGTTAATCAAATTTTTGACCCATTTTCATGTTAGTTATTTCCATGTTTCCGATGATGTGTCAAATGGTGACCCTCAATTGGACTTCTGCACTTTCTGAACTTTCCCAAATATAATCCGATTTCAAAGTGGCATACCTCTAAAGACTTGTGGTTCGATTCTCTAAAAATGTGCATTCAAAATTTTCAATTTAACGTTGATCAAATTTTTGACCCATTTCATATAATTTATTTCCATGTTTCCGATGATGTGTCAAATGGTGAAAATTAAGTTCTCACTTTTTATCTCGGATATTCTTATATACTCTTGATAAATGCCACTGCTATTATGAAAGTTAATTTAATTTCCTTTTCTCTCAACAGAAACTTATATTTGAAGTCTTAAAATTTTACATAATCTAGAAGGTAATCAAATATTTTATAGTTTTGGGGAAAAAATAAAATTAATTAAATTGATGCGCACCCATTTTTCTTCTGGCAAACTTTGAAGATCAATCTGCGATCGAGTTAAGCAATTTCATTCGCGCAATAGCCTCGATCTTCCTCTTATTTTTAGTTCTCCACTTAACACTTAAGCAGAAAGGGGGAGGGCCAGTTGGTTGGTTTTAATATGCACTTACCTGTCAGATCATTAAAGTAAAAATTGATTTTCTAACTTGCAACGATTTTTGCATTAACAATTAGTCGTTGGCCAGGGTTCCGAGGGTTCCGTGTTATTAATTAACAATGCCACACCAGGCAGGCGCATTTAAGGCATTAATTGCCCGAACCGGTTCACTTTATCGTTCCCCGTTCTCGGTAGCCAGAACACTGGAGATGTGGAAATCTGGAAATCGGAAAATCGGGGGACGACTACGCCTCAATCAATCTAGCAAATTGTCGCCCAGTTTTCTCCGCTCATTCCCCGCACATTCTCACTCGTTTGCGATTTTTGTCTCGGCAATATCGAACACCAATGGAATAGAGTGTCTCATCCGCTGGCCATTATTTCTATGCGCCAGCCCATCTAGATCTCGGATATGCAACATATTGACTATATTATATAGTGCTCTCTAATTATGACAACTACGCAGCTGTGCGTGCTCACGTGTTTTTCCAATTAGACATCGGAGGTCCCCACTCGGAAAGCAAAAGATAGAGATGACAATGAGCGATAAAGCCGTCGCCATCATCTCGTCATCGTCATCGAAAGCATCGAAGGCAAATTGACGATCAGCCATGTCCACTTGCTGGTATACAAATTTTTTTTTTGAAGAAATGAATTTATGTCTAAAATTTATTTTAAATTAAAAACAAAAGAGATTAAGGGATTAAAAAAGTTTTCTTCAAAGTTTGTGAACCATAAAACATTAAGAAATATAAAAGGTTTACCCATTAAAGTAAGAGATTAATGGACTTAATAAAATATATATATTTAAGGAGCAGAACTTAAGAGCTATGTTTTTATATGAGAAGTGTATAATATAAGAATTTATGAAATAATATATATATCCACCAATATATGTCCCCTTCTCCTTATCACACTTTCTCAACGAAATTCCAGCTTTCTCCATTTTTTTTTTCTTGATGCGATTAAAAGTATATACCAAAATTAATCAAGGAATTAGAGGGGCTGAGTAGGAGAGCAAAACGAGTTGGCAGCGCCGTTTGCCATTTGCGGCACACCCACTGCTGCCGCCCGCCACGCCCCCTGCCCCCACAGCCCCCTTTCCTGCCCCTCGAACAGCCGCAACACGCCCACTGAAAACGCTCGCTGAGCTTTAATGCGTTTTCATTTAACACAAGTCTTGGCCCGGCTTGTTTTTTTTCTGTTTGTGGCCCGGCTTGTTAGCCCGTGTCTGTGTGTGTGTGTTTGAGCAAGTGTGTGTGCGTGCGAGTGTGTGCGTGAACACCTCCCACTTGGCAATCTAATATAAAGTCAGGCCCCGCGACTTGGACTGCAGCCTCTTGGCTACCTTTTCTTCAGATACTCTAGGTTTCTTTTTGAGTATTTCCGAATTTTTTCAAATAACCTTGAAATTAACCAAAAAAAAAAGATTAGTTTAAAATGCTCAAGAAAAATACCTTTTTAGAGATTAGATCCGACTTAAAAAATAAATTAGGGGAAAATTTCAGCGAGCTTCAAAGTATTATTTAAATCCATCTACTAATCTATTAATATAACTTTGAAGCATGACTTTTATTTAAAAGGATGTTTAAGCTTGTGTGTAAAAATCACAGGCTAAGGGCCTTCGACTTTCTTCTTTTTGTCATTATTTATTTTGTATTTTTGAAGTGTATTTAAATCTACGGCTTGTGGCCTCTATTTTTCGTCGCAGCGTTTTCATCTCTCATTTTTTTCGCACATTTTTCGCTGGCTTTTGGCGCTTTTTCGCTTCCGCATGCCTAGACCGAGTTTATATATGTTATATGTGCATTTGGCGGATGGAAGGGGGGATTTGGCGGGGGAGGGGGAGGGGGTTGCACATATGTGGCATATGTATATCAATATTTTTCAGCTCGTTTGGCTGCCAGAGCTTGCGCTCCACATTAATAACGCATCCCACCCTCTAATTGCATTTTACCTGGTCGCCTTTAATCGAATTTTCCTGGCTTTTCCTCCTGCCAGAACGATGCGCAATTTCGATTACGCTCAACTATTTTCCCGATTATATATACACTATATATGTATATATATGTATGCATTTTTTGGGGGGCGCCCGATAAGTGCCGGCATTGGAGGAGTAGTAGTCTGCATCTTTGGAAAGTGCTTCCGCATTTGCAGAGCCCCCCCTCCGAAATCGCCGACGAAAGTGGAGTTATGTGCCCAGATTAGCGGGTGTGTGCTAATGTCTCGAAGACTTCCAGTACTCCAGTCTCCCATTGCAAAGTTTGGAGTGAGTCCGCTGTTGTTTGGGTCACTCTTTATCTACCTATCGACTGCGGCCTAATGAAACCCATAACTTTTGACTTTTCCGGAGCGAAATGCCGCGTCGCTCGACGATGGTCAACGCCTTATTGGGGTCATGCGAAAGGTGTTGATCGCTAATCGGCGAGGAGCCGACATTCTCCATTGGAATAACTTCAAAAAGCTGGGAGCTGAAATTAATAGGAAAACATATTACATTCCATGTAGCAATTAACTTTAAATTGGGATTATATTTATTTTAGCAAGTACTTTAAAATCAGAACCATTTCAATATCATATAATACAAATTATTCCAGCATATTATTTTAAAATAAATATTTATTATTTATTATTAAAATAATATTATTCCATCTTATTATTAATTGAAGTATTTATTTTAGCCTCAGCATCATTCTAAAATTACATAGTTCAAAATAAAAAAAAATCATTCATAAGTTATTACTTTACTCTGATATTTGAAATAGCCATATATAATTGTAAGAAATATTCAGAATTCCGATCTGTATTAAATCTCTGCCTTCCTTTCTCTTTTTTGTCTTGCAGGTGAGTTATTTCGAACGACTTCAATTAGCAATTGAGATTACTCGACTCGGAGAAGCAGGTAAAGAAAAAAGAATGCCTTAAATAGCAAGTGCCCCAAAAAGTATACGTTCGTGTGTATATTTGTGTTGTGCGATTGTGGATGCTCAGAGCCATGTGGATATATGGGATGCATAGTCAGTCGGCTCGGCTGATTTGGCTAAAGGCTGTCACATTTTCCGCGGCTGGGCAACTAAGAGAAATGACCACAAAATGCGAACATAAATCAACACAATGGGCAAAACGCTGCTGCTGTTGCTGTTGCTGCCGCCGCCAAAAGGTGTGGAGACCGAGCAGCAACAGCAACAGCAACAATTGCTGCTGCAGCAGCAACATCAGCAGCAACAGCAACTACTTCGGCATATGAAAATGCAAATTTCACATGGGAAAAACAAGCCGCGGGGGATGACAATTTGCTGTTGCTATTGCTGCTGCTGACTCAAAACAGTTGCAAAGTTGTTGCTGAATTAATAAACTTGCAACTGGCGGCGGTTGCTTTTGTAAAAATGCCGCCAAATGCCTATTTTGATGTTGTTGCTGCTGCTGCTGCTGCTGAGGTTGCCTTAAAGCAAACGATACGCATTGAAAATGAACGAAACAAAATTGAAATCTGACACCAAAAGAATTGACAGAAAACACACACAAAACACAACAAAGCACTGGAATTTATTTTTTTATTGTGTGGTAAAAATAATTAAAGCAAAGATGGCTTATTTGCAAAGAAGAAATTTAAGAAGAATTACATTTTATTGAGGCGCAATATTTTCAAATTTTCTATTTTTATTAAAAAAGTCACACTTTAGAATGTTTTTTATGCTACAAAATTAACTTAAAAAATTTTGTAACGTTTGAATAATAAAATATAAGATTAATCAATATCACATTTAAAGTTTACCGTCTTAAACGAAATAATTCAGAACTAAAATGGCAAACAAACTAAACTAGATAAAAATCAATAAAATAAGGCTATACAAAACAAGTTTAAAAACCGTAAAATTTTTAAGTATTAATCCCATTAATTAATGATTCTTCTTTGGTTTCTCCAAGTGCACAAGAAACTTTGGCTAACAATTGCAACGGCTTTTCGGGTGACTTCCAGACTTGGTTAGACCAACAAAAATGCAAATTCAATGAATGCCCATTCAGTATCCCCTTTCCCTCATCTCCCGAACGTGACTCAAATTGCTTTTAAATTGTTTTAGCAAGCAATAAACGAACCAAAGGCAACGAGAGTTCAGTTTTTCCTCTTTTTTTTATTTTTATTTTTTATCCCTGCCAGCAGCTGCTGGTCCAAATATTTCGCTTTTTCAATCTTTTTTTTTTTGCCCAGTTTTCTGGGTTTTTCGCCGGCAATTGAAATGTCCCAGTGTCCAGTGGAAAATGTTTCGTTTTCGGCCAGGTATGGCCTGATCTTAATTTCCATTGAAGTCCGGCAGCTTCCAACGAGGCCAAAAAATATAAATAACTGTTAATTGTACAAATATGCTGGGGTCCATTACAAAGATTTGAGATTTCCTTTATTTTTCCTCGGCTTAATTGGCCTGCGGGGGCGGGAGTGGGTAATTTGTCTTTAGTTTTGCGTTTCCGTTTGGGATTTGATTCGGCTTAAAGATTATTGCCATGTAAATTTGTACAACTACTGGGAGAATTGCTGCAAATGGTTAACGATCTCGTAATTTGGGGGATTTTGTGGTTTATCAACGCCCATGTGATTATTGAGAAACAATATTTATTGCTATTTGAATTTTGTGGCTGGACAAATATTTTATAATAAATAATAATAGCAGAACAAGGGCCTGGACTTAATTAGATTGGATTAAAGTTTATAAAACAGTTGGATTTTGAAAGAATTTAAAAATATATTTTTAATTATAAGAATTTATAATTATAAGAAATTTATTTCCCGTTTTTACTATATTATTTGATTTCAATCAGGCATTTATTTATAGTCATATTTCTTGTCATATTTCATATAGGTCTTAAAGCTTTTTTAGGCAGTTTTCCATCAAGATTTTGATTTGCCTTTCTGCCTTTAAGTGTGTTCTTTAAACTTAAATATAATTGCTTTCCTCTTCTTTGGTATGGATCATAAATAATAATGACCTTATCTTCCAGGGTGGTATGTACTTGGTGTCCCGCACTTTTTCCTGAGTTCCCTGGGTTGTTTTTCGCGTGTTGGCCTGTCACTAATGACAACGGTGGCAGCTACTGGTTACTGGTTGCTGGTTGCTGCTCCTGCCGGCAATTACTTAATTTACACTTGACCATTGTTGCCGGTTCCTGTCGCCCGATTGTGTGTCCTACCGCCTTAACCCGGGGTGTAAATCAAGTCGCGGCCCTGACGCTGACTAAAAGTTGTAGCGGCGTTCGCCAGTGAAGCAGAAAATTACTTTCATCATAATTTAAAGTTACTTATGACCACAGCGGAACGGGTTGCAACCGCAGCTTAGTTTTTGTTGTTTTTTTTTTTTTTTTTTGTGTCCAGCCCGATTGTCTTAGGCACACGACCAAGGGGAGTGGAGAGGGGGAGGGGGGGGCATGGGGACTTCACAAATTGAAAAATCATCCAAAACCAGGATGTGCTGGACCTTAGAGGGGCCCAAGCCAAGCCAAACATTTGCACGTCAAACAAAGTGGCAGTGAAATAACAAAATTATGTTGGCAGATTTGTGGCGACGACCGGCGATGGAAATTATGGCAGGCAACAGAGGCAGTGGCAGGCAACACGGGGGAAATGGAATGGAATCACTTGCCACAAAGAATGGGGAACAGAGAATGGAGCAAAAGAGGAGTCAGAGCCACATCCAGCCAAAGCATAGAGATATATATAATTGCTATGTGGTGGTCCAACTGGTGCTGCAGTTTAAGTTACTGGTGACGTTTTGGCATGAATGATGTGGCGTGGGCTTCCTTCTCAGCCTTCTCCTTCTGCTACTGGGCGGTTTTTCCTTGGCCTTCACAAAAACGCTTAGATGCTCAAAAAATTGCTATAATTCTCAAAAACGACTTAGGGCTGAAAAAATCATCCATAAGTCAATATTCTGTCTGGACTACTGGTGTTACCTCAGTTTGTTTCAAGGTTTCCTTAAGCTATTATTTGTAGTTATAAGAATAAGAATGAATATACGAAAGAAAGTTATCTGATCACTTGTATTTTAAAATGTATTTGTTTTACAATACAATATTACTTGTTGCTTGTCTTTTATAGAATTCAGATTAAATGGCAGTATTAAACTTGGATTAAATGAAAATGTTATACAAATATAAAAGTGTTTTTGGATACACCTTTCGTTTTGGTTATTAATAGTTACCTTCTGCACTTTATTTACTTGAACTCTTGTTGTGTCTTGTTATGTTGGGCATAAATTAAACTTAATTTGATTTTCCGATGCAGTTGCAGTTTCAGTTGGGTTGATGCCTCATCCATAATAATGCGCCCCCGATTCCTAAGCCATAGTTTTTTGGTCCCTGAACCGACTTGCGTCCACAATCAAGTCAAGTGTTTATTTGTTTATGGGAATTTTTCCCCTTGTTTTTTTTTTTGTTTTATTTCTTTTTTGCGGTACCAAAGCGGAGCATGAGTCTCTGTCTGGGTGAGTGGCATGTTGCATGTGGCAGTTGCAGCAGTTGTAGCAGTTGCAGCAGCAACTTGCAACCGTTGATGTTGCTGCTGCATTGGTGGTCCGATCTGGTGGTGGTGCCTCCTCGATTGCGTTCCGTTCGTGCGTTTTTGTTTGCCGCAATTAGCGTGTGGGCAGTTGGCCCCGGATTTGCGAGGAGCAGGGGCAGGGGCAGGGGGCATGCGGCAGGATGGATTTAGTGTACGGGGGTGTGGCAGTTGGATGAGTGAAAGTCGGCACGAGGCTACGTGGCTCTGCCTCTGCACTGATACAATTGGGAAAAAGTTAAAATTAATGGGTCTCATAAGATCCTTTTTTAAGTTGAAATGAAATTTTTATTTATTAAAAAAAATATAAATATATTTTCCAAATATAAAAGTACAATCGATAGGTTTATCAATAGTATTAATTTCATATTTCTTGCAGATCATTTTAATTAAATATTTGTTGGCGATATTAATGCGATTGCATTTCCAGTTTTGAAAAACTATGGTTTTAAATTAGGCAGTTTTAATTTAAAATATTGTTTTCCTTTTTTTGTGATAACCGATACGTTAATCGATAATATCGATAGCTTGTCTGTTTTTATCGATTTGTAAAAATGAATTTCTTTTTACAAAATACATAGAAAAATATTTTTTTCGAGTGCCACAGATTCCGAAACGTTCCAACCTGTTCCGGAAAGTTCCAAGCGTTCCGCGTCGCGTTCGCTGAACACCTGTTGCTGTTGTTGCTGTGATTGCAGGCGTTGTTGTTGCTGTTGTTGTTGTTGCTGCTGCTGCAACCGGTTCGCTTTGAGCTCGTTAGTTAATTCAAAGCTGTAAATATTATAACAGACCGCGTTCCATTATTGTATTAACAACAGAGAGACGGCCCCTATCCTTTTCTATAAAGAAACAGAGAGGGAGAGGGAGAGATAGAGAGAGGGAGATGGCGAATCGGATTGATATAACCCAAACATGAGCAAAGGCATTTTGACAGAGATTTTCCGTTCGTTCGCCTTCCCCTTTTTGGGTATTTTTAGCCTCACTTTTCCACCGACTTTTCTTATTTTTAGCTATGAAAATCGGCTTTAAAATAAAACTGACACAACTCCTTAGAGTTTCGTTCAAATTAAAATGGAAATTTTTTGCATTGTGATTGATGTGGGTTAATTTGGTCGCTCAGCGGGAATGGCAGTGGGCGGTGGGAGGGGGGAGGGGGCCATTGGTGATTTGGGGGAGGGGCGACTGTAATTGGCGGACAAGGCGGGCGATGAAAAGTGGTACATGAGAAATTGCTGGATGATGGAGAGATAAAAGTGAATGGTGAAATGGAAGGAAAATTAAAAGAAATACTAAAAACTATTTTTATTTCATTGTAAAATTTATTTGAATTGAAAACAAGTAAAGACTAAAGATTT